TTGCTAGAAATGCAGAATCTCAGGCCCTGCCCTGGACCTGCCTCATCAGAATGTGCAGTTTAACGAGACGCTTAGTGAGTTCATGCACACGAAAGCTGGGGAAGCTCTGCTCTGGCCAATCCTGGTCCCTACGAGATGCCTGAGCCAGTCTGCACCCAGCATTCATCCAGTCTCCATAAACATAACTCCCCAATGCCGCTTGTCCCAGTATCAGATAGTTCTATTACAAAGTTTTTCTTACATTGAGCTGAATTTTTACAGTTCCCGGTTCTGTCTCTTGGGCACACACAAGAAACAGATTCTCTTCCTCCTGGCAAGCAGCAGGGGATGAGGACAGGGTGATGGTAGCCATCAGGAGACCCAATAAAGACAAGCAATTCCTTCTCCTTCCGAGCAGGTCTCAGGGCACAGGCCAACACGGAGACAACAGTATACGGCTGCAGCCAAAGAGGAAAGCTAACACCAACAACCAGGACCTTCCTGCTCTGCTCTGAGCTCCACTTCTTGGGGAAGTCATCTCACTGCTACTTCTCATTGCATATGTAACAGCCTTTACTGCAGGGTGGTCCCCAGAGACACGGAGCCCATGCTGATCAGGAAGCCACAAGCTGGTCAGCAGTCTGTGCTGAGGCTGTGGTAGTGATTCCCAGTCTTTCTGTCTTTGGTTTATTAGAATATGTGTCTGTCTCCCCAAGGAGACCACAAACTCTTTGAGGATGAGGGATTGTGTGCCTGGCGCATAGCAGATGCTCAATAAATATCACTGAATTAATCTGAACTGAAATACGGTAGTCCTCAGGAATTCAGACTATTTTCTAACAACAAAGTGGTGGGCTAAAAATAATTAATTTTCCGGGTGCCTGGGTGGCTCAGTTGGTTAAGCGACTGCCTTCGGCTCAGGTCATGATCCTGGAGTCCCGGGCCTCAGCAGGGGGTCTGCTTCTCCCTCTGCCCTCTTCCCTCTCGTGCTGTCTCTCATTCCCTCTCTCTCAGATAAATAAATAAAATCTTTAAAAAAAAATAATAATTAATTTTCCTAATTTGGGAGACTTTCTGAAGTTCACAATTAACCCATTCATTTAACCAGTATTTGCCATGTGCCAAGACATTTTTAAATGCCAAAGTAATTATTAAGATGAATAAGACTCTTCCTGCCCTTCAAGAAACCCACAGTCTAGTTAGAGAAGAAGAGACACAAATAAATTATTTAATATAATGTGTATGTGCAATTGTAGGGATGCAGGAAATTGTATGGATTCTCAGGAGAATAGCTAGCTCTTCCTGGGGGTAAGAAAATAACATTTAAGATAATAATAATGAAGGTTTGTCTAATATTTTTTTTCTCTTCAAAGTACATATTAGCTCATTTAATCTTTATAGGAAACCTACAAGTAGACACGATCATCTCTGTGAAAAATGAAAAAACTGAGATTCAGAGAGTGTAAGGAAAAAAAGAGAGAGAGTACATAAGAAATTAGCCCAAGACTGCACAGCTAGGAAGTAGCAGAGTGAAGACTTGAACTCAGATCTCCAATCTCCAAATTCCAAGACAATCCCTACCCCTTTTTAAAAAATGATATTGCCCTGTCAAGTTTTACACTTAGTTTTCTTTGCAATGCAGCTGATGGCTATATGGGATATAAAAACAGGGTAACCAGGTAACCATTTAGAATGAGCAGGGGAGCTCTGGGAAGACAGGTGGTGGAGGGTATGGCAGGATCAGCCACCTGCCTGGCCCTTCTCCGTCATTGTTCATTGCTTTCTGTCCCTGGTTCAGCCTTCCTTCCTGTTCCTCAATCTTAGAATTCATGTTCCAACAAGACCAGGAAAAAGACTACAGGCATAAGAGAAAGGAGTCATTTTCTCACTTGAGAAAAGTGAGGGAAAAGAAAGCCGTGGAGAACATTCTTTTAGTGTAGTGATGCCAAATGGCATTTGGGCACTCAAGATTCCCTCCACCATCTGGTCTAAAATGGCCTTTCCGATCTTAGTTCCCTTTTCACTGCATGGGAAAGGCATTTTACTCTGAGGCTAGATCATCATACCAGGCTATAAGATAGATACCACATTGAACCAATCTTTTCCCTGAAAATCCTTTAAATTTCCCCAAAGTGCAGCTCTCGCCACCAGAAGCAGAGAGCCTAGGACCCACTGTGGACATGAAGTCTCTGTCTCATGCTCACTCCAGGACAGACACTCTTCAAGTATGATAGCCTGCACTCTTTTGATTCTTCTTCCTATCCAGATTATATGTGGGATTTAACACATGTGTAATGCAACACCACTGTACTTGCTTTTCCCCAAAGGAGCAAGCAGGACTTGCTGTTTCCTTGATCTGGAATGTCCTTCCTCTGCATCTTCCCATGGATACACGCTACCTCCTTGGGAAGTCATTCATGACCAGCACATCCACTTTCTCTGCCTGAAAAAAGTGAGCAGTAATCTGGACTTTCCCTGCACCAAATCTATTGCTTCTAAGGACCTGGACACTAACCACCACACATCGAGTTCATTGCATCCCAATCACATACGACTTCCTAGAAGGCTATACCCTTTCTGACAGTAGAATTGATGCATGGCTTATCTTTGCATCCTGAGAGACTGACACCAGGCCTGGCATATAGTAGGCCCTCAATATTTATTTAAACAAATGGATACTTATAAAATGGTAATTCCACACTAACTTTCTGTTTGGGGGTCTTCTTATGTATGAAACATAATGAACTGTTATCAGACCTCACCTCACTGGTATCCCATCAGAAGCAAAGCATTTCTGTTGCTCCCACGTCAGGGATGGGGCACCGGTGAAAGGAGACAGTTAGGGCAGATAAATTGGGGACTTAAAAACATTTGACAACCACAACTGTGAGGAATGAGAGTGATCTGAAAGAAACCATTTCCTGCCCCACCTCACCACCTAGTTTTTCACAAGGAGGCCTAGAAACAGGTGGAAGAAGCAGAAGAAGAGAAGTAGAAAATAAAAGCCATGTGTATGCCAACTTCTAATACTGCCCAGATTCTTCCTAATTTTCCTGAAAAAGAGATTTCCTTTTCATGAGTTCTTCCTTGTGGTTTAGGAGCAGACAATTTTGGGATGAGTTTTCTGATGCCAGTAGCCCAGCTGATCACAGCCCCACCATCAGTGGAGCTTCCTCCAAAGTCAGGATTTCCTGGGAGCCCATATTCAAATGGAAATGAGTATCTGCAACAACGCACATTGCTGTTTCCCAGACATCACCTTTTCTGCCATTTCCCGATGCTTTCATACATTTCAACCCCCCTCCCAACCAGCAAATCACAAAGTACTGCAAGGTGCAGAAATGAGAGAAGAGGAGCTTATTTTTCCTGTGGGTATTAACCACAGCACCTAGGACAGCTCTGCCCAGGCCGGCAGGACCGGGGGGAAGGGACTGGGACTACCCCACGAAGGACTTCGGGGGGACGGGGGGTGGGGGGCTGGGGGCCTGTGCCTGAGCGCTGGGCGAGTGCAGCTTCATTTCTTCAATAATACCAGTGTCCTCCTTTGAGCCTCTCAAGCATCCAAGGAGATATTCCCCAAACATAACACCCCCTAAAGCCACCATCAGCTTCCTCATGCCACTGAGTTTGATTCTGGACTCCCTAGGGCTTTCAAGGGGGAGGGGCAGGCATGTGCCTACTTTAAGGGGGTCCCTGTCACCACCGTTCCAGGATGGAATGTAGGTGGATCGAGTGCCTCTTCCGAATCCAGTTTGGCTACATCACAAACCTACTTTCCCATAATCCTTACTGCTGCCTCATAGAATAGGTGTTGTTATCCCCATTTTACAGATGGGGAAACTGTAGTCCAGAGAAATGAAATGCATTACTGAGTAGCACACACGTATTAAATACAGGGCCCCAGATTACAACTTGGGGGTGCTGGATTCCATAGTCCAAGTGCTTCTGCTATGCCAAACTGCCTCCTCCCTGAGCAGATCTCCACATAAAGGGCGGTGAGCCGGGCAGCAGTAACTGCAGGACACACAGCAGGCTGGCGGCAGAGGTGGGACTGGCACCACCTTCTCCTAATTCCTTCTTGGTGTTCTCTGCACTGAGCTGCCCAATATGTCCAGCTGGGGACTGTCTGGCCCTCACGTATCCTGGGCTCATCGTCATCTATTAATTTCTACTTAGTGAGTAAAACAAACATACAAAGATGTAAGCCTCATTGGCTCTCCTCTTAAACCACAGCTCCTATAGCTGCTCTGGCCTTTTTCCTCTTATTGGTGCTCAAAACCAGCTGTCAGGGTAGCTCTTCCTAAAATGCAAGCCTGGCTCTGATGCTCCCCTGGTCGACACTTTCCACGGATCCCCACTGCTCCCCGAATGAACTCAGACCTCCTCACTGATGTGTGAAAGGCTCTTCATGCCTCGCCCCACCCTTCCCTGCCAGGCCAGTCTCACTTTCCAGCACTCTATTTTTTTTTTTTTTACTCATTTCCTTCCTGAAACTTATGACAGCCATATACTCAATGGGTTTAGCAAATTTTTATGTATCCCTAGAATTCTCAGTCCTTCCATTTTAGCCTGGAGATATCCTGTGCTTTTATTAAGGACCATCCATGCTTTTAACATGTTACCGCTTTTGAGAAGCACAGCCCCACCTTTGTACTCACTCCCTCGCCCCACCATGGCACAGCACCCTGTCTCACATGCATTCGTGTGCATGTTCTGGCTCCTCCAGGAATGTGTGCTATCGTCTCCGAAAACCCACTGATGTGAGCAGAGTGCTGAGATCAGTGAGCACTTGTTGATTCACTGGACTCAACACTCATTTCCATAGGGATGTGGCAACATGCTGGTTTTATTTACGGCAAGCCAAGGCTGGCTCTAAGTGGCAGTCATTTCCCCAATCTTCTGGTGTGTGTGTGTGTGTGTGTGTGTGTGTGTGTGTGACAGCCAAAGCCAGAATCCACCTTTAACACAGGAAAGGAGAGGAAGGGGGACACGGTCACTTCGGTGGCCAGGGTGGTGCTTACCTGTGATCATGCTCAGTGCTGACAGGCATGCTAAGGCTTGGATATCAAGGTTCAGGCTCTGCAAACTTAAGGAAAAGTCTTTAATGGAGTCGAGCCACTCCCCAAATCCACGAAGGCACTGAAGTCGATGCAGGACAAGTCCATTGCAGAACACAAACTTATCTTCAGCAGTGTTCGACCTACAAGACAAAGTCATAGGGGTGGGAGATAGAGACACATTAAATGGGTGTGTTCAGTCTGTCCAACATCAGAACACAAAGGCACCTAAACAGCCATGGGACAGTGTTCAGAGTTTGGCCTGGTGCTATAGAACCTTCCTGGATACTCTTGATGGACAAGACTGTGCTCCTGGGATCACCCACCACCGCCACTTGTCTGCGCTGTCTGGGTGAGTGGCAGCCCTGGAGAGCTGGGGGGCGGGGTGGGGAGCCCCTGCTCTCTTATTACTCAAATCAGGTTCTGTCCTGCCAGGGATGGGACGCAGAGGAGCAGGCACTCTGGGAGGATGGAAGTGAAGCCCCAGGCACCGCCTCTTTCTGTAGTGAATGCGAGCTTGTTCCCTTCAGGGCTCCTTGGCCAGGACTTCTCCCTCTTATTCTTAAATGTCAAAAACTGATAAGACCCGAGACTAGACACTACAATTCCACTGTGCAGACTCTAAGAACACCAAGTCCTTGCAACTGCCAGAAGTCAATCACAGAAATAAAAAGGGACGCAAAGTCAAAGTACGCGTTGTTTTAGGTCTCCTTCTGTACTTTTAGCAGTGGGGCTGTGGAGGGCTATTTCTAAACCTGCCTGATAGTTTATATTATGTCCATCATCATCTCGTTCCTCTCTCATGAAAAGTGCCCTGGAACACCAAGACGTTACCACTTAGCCGTGGGGCCTGGGAGACTCCTTTCAGCTCTCCTTTTCCTTATCTATAAAACAGGAATTCTGATTACTACCTCCTAAGATTGTTGTGGGAATTCAATAAAGGATCTGAAGGCCCATGCACAGGGCCTGGTACTTAAGAGGAGCTCAATGAGTGTTAGGCGTAACTAATTCTGAATTCTCTATGGTCCTTACTTAAATCTTACCTTTCCTTTAATTTTCCAATCTCTTGCTACATACTTCTCTCTTTCAGCTCATTGTGCTAACAAGTTAATATCTCTTGATTTGGGCTTCTTGGATGAGTAGCTTTATTCATTCATTCACTTAGCAATTATGTCCTTAGCACCAGGTATATGCTGTTCCTGGAAGCAGGCACTGGAGAAGACTTGGTGAGTAGTGCGTATGAGGCACCCGCCTACATACAGCGCATCCCTTACTTAATCCTTTGCTGCCTGCCTAATGGAGGACAGTCCCCTTGCTGGCTTGGCTTCTGTGCACAGCAGACTGGCTGTAATTATGCTAATGCTGACTCCCTAGATGTAACTCCACCTCTGTCTCTCCTACAGATCCTGCCACAGAGGCACACGCAGGACAGAATGGTTCAGCCTTAGAGTTTAAAACCTGGACCTCAGGCTGCTGGCATCAGAATCATGGGAGCATGAGTTAAAAATGCAGATTTCTGGACTTCTTCCCAAAGTAGCTCCAAACCAAAATAGCTGAGAATGAGGCACGGCAATCTGCACTTCAAACAAGAGTTTCTGGTAACACTGCAGGAAAAGCTTGGAGAGAAGCTTGGATCCCAGGTTCCAGCTTTTTGGAAAATCACTGCCTCTCTGTCTTTGGTGTCACTGAGTAGGATACATTGGACCAGATCTTTTGATCCAGAAGCTATTCTCTTGGAGTAAACATTGGGGGTTGAGAAGCTGTGGGAACTCTTTAGAGCCCCATCTGGCGTACTAGAACAGTCACTCGTTAAATAGAAACCCATGAGGTAAATGCAATGTTCAAAACAAATACTCGCCTGCCAGGAAATACCTTATGCACCATGAGAGAATCTTCCTAGAATCGCAGAATGTTGGAACTGCCCTGGGCTTCAGAGATCAACAGATCTAACCTCCTCGTTTCACAAAGCAAAGTGAATTTCAGGGGAGGCTAGTGACCAGCTCAGGGTCTTACAGCAAGTCCATGTTGCAACTGAGACTAGAACCTGGGAGTCCTGGCTCCCAGGCTAGTGCTCTCACCCACGGCCCAGATTCACTCACGCCTGACCATACTTCCTATTTCTTTCCTGAGCAAACTTTTCATCGATGACTCCGTTACAAACACAACACAACTTCTTCAAAGCAAGGGGAGAACTTAAAAAAAAAAAAAAGATAAAATCATCATAATTACCTGATGGAAAGTCTGAGAACAAACAGCTCCAAAAAGGCTGATTCTATAAGTAACGTCTGATCTTCTTTGGGGAGATCAGTAAATCCGGGAATCTTTTCTGCCCAGCTTCTGGACACATCGATGGAGGCTGTCAGGAGATTGTAGAACTGTTGCACGTGCTCAGCATCAGTTCCTGCAGCGGCCTGTTCAGCGGGACAGTACTAGAAGGCAAACCACAGAGAGCCTCATTAGCTCAGTTCCACGGGGACGGCAGCCCCATTTGCAAATAGGCTTTGCCAAGACTGTCAGTGCCTAAATCCTCATTTTTAGGTCCCACGGTTATAAAACCTTTTTTTTTTTTTTTTTTTGCATTTAGTCTCATCTGATTCTCACAATGTAAACAGAGCAAATTTTGTCACCTCTTAACAGACAAAAGAAATCTGGTGAAGTCCCATTAGTGCAGTGGTTTTCAATCCTGATGCAAGACTGAAATCAAGTTTAAAAAAAACACCGTGTCTAGCTCATCCGCACAGAGATTCGAGTTTAACTGGTCTGGTGTGGGGGACTGGTCTTCAGGAATTTCAAAGGCTCCCCAGGGGATTCCAAAGAGCAGCCATTGTTGAGAAGAACCATTAGCCCAGAGGTTTGTGTCCAAGTAGGCCTCCAGGGTCTACTGATTCCACCAAAGCACAGCTGTCTCTAAGATGCTAATTCGTCCCCAGATGCTAAGTGTAGTCCCCAGACCAGCAGCACCTGGGAATGTGCCGGAAATGAACAACTTGGGCCCCGCCCCAGACCTACGGAAGCAGAAACTCTGAGGGTAGGAGAGACTGTTTTATGGAGATCTCCAGCTGATTCTCATGCACACTGGAGTCTGGGAACCACAGAATTAACCAATAGGAGAAGAGAATGATTTTTGCTTGCTGCGGGTGGATTTCTGTGAGGTAAAACAAACCAGGCCGGGGAGGGGGGCGGTGTCTCCTTAGCAGGGCCCAGGCAGCCATGGGCCATCAGACTCAGGACTTGTGGCAACTTAAATTCATGAAAATTAAATAAAATATAAAGCCCATTTTCTCAGCCATCCTGGCCGTATTTCAAGTGCTCCAAAGCCATGTGCGGTGTAGAACATTTCCATCACTGCAGAAGACTCTACTGGATGGCGCTGATCTAAAGGATCCCAGAAGAAAGATACAAGTAGGAATATAGTCCTTGTCCAGCTTTTGGATGTTCTGGTAGAGTCAGGGTTTTGCTTGAGTCACTGGAGGAAAAAGTCTTTCCTGCTTTTGGCAGGAAGATTGATATAGCAAGACAATAATCAAGGGACAACCAACAATACAGAGACTTAAGAGATCTGCAGAAATACGCATGTACGTATGTGCCCTAACGCAGCCTTGGGTGCGTTTGTGCCTTTCTCTCAGTTCCTCCTGGGGTATGGATTTTAATCTGTATTTTACAGATGAGAAAAATGAGGCTCAGGGGGACTCAGGGAGGCTAAGACTTTCCCAAGGCACACAGCCAACAGTGGTCCAGCCAGGACTTAAACATGGCCCTGTGACTTCCACTCCTACACTTCCTGGCTGTTAATATGTCTGATGCTCCTAGCTGGTAGCCTGTGGCATAGTTTTAAAAAGCATCTTGCTTTGCTCTAATTGGAGGTCTCCGTGTGTGTGTTTGGTCCCATGTTTTGTCAGCAGCCCAGTGACTGGCATATAATTGACCCCCAGTAAGTTGTTGAATATCGTGCAGTGAAAGAATAGGCAGGGGGGTGCCTAGGTTTGTCACAATGCCCTAACCTGGCTGGCGGAGGAACAGCCAGCAAGCACCAGGTGCTGACTGAGGAACTACTTAGATAGGAGGAAATGAGGCACTTGTCTTAACTGGGTCTCTTTTTTTTCCCTTTGTGCTCTCCCAAGAGACATCATGAAATAACAAAAGACACCATCAGACAAGGGGCCCAGCTGCTTTAATCCTAGGTTTGTCCAGACCCCTATTTTGTGAAAGAATGTAGCTCTGCCTGTAGATACCTGGGATAAATTATTTCGCTTTTCTAAGCCTTGGTTTTCTCCTCTGTAAAATGGGGATAATACCCTCCCCAAGATTCTGTTGGAAGGATTATACGTGATGATATACTTGAAGGGCCCGACATAAGGAAGATATCTAACAAATTACGACAGCGATGATACTGATAACGATTATGATCCTTGGAACTAACACTGGCCCTCCACTTCCATATTTATAAAATGGGGAAAGGGGCTGAACCTGAAGGTTTCTAATTCTCAGCCCTGACTTTCTAGGATCCTATAACATCAGGTCCAGTTCAGAGTCCTGGCTCCTCTTTCTCAATAATCCCACCCAGGCCTTGGATTCTATGAAGCCCTGGATGTTTCTGTGCTGTGATCGGACTCCTTGGGAGCAAAGTCCGGGAGAAGGAAGCAGTCCTCCTTCCCACAGATAGTCAAGGATGGCGGCATGATCCTGATGTCACGACACATCCCCCTACCTCCTTTTAGCACATACACTACTAACTGGAAGAGAGTGGAAAAAGAGATTTTATTTAACTGTTTTTTTTTTTTTCCCCCCACTTTCTCTTCTTCTATGAATCTAATTCCATATACTCTCCAAGGACAGGAGGAAAATGAGAGCAGAACCCCCTTTAGAAAGCCGGCAGCACTACATGTGAAACTCCCGAGTGGTATCTGGAGTAGAGAAAAGAAGGTTGGACCAGGCAGCAGGTCATGGGGTCCTGCTCCAGGCTCCGGCATTGACTTGCTGTGCAGCCCTAGCCAAGTTACTTAACTTATCTGGAGAAGGAAATGACCAGGCTATCTGATTTTTAAGATCCCTCCTGGCTCTTTGCATTCAGCTATCTTTCTGTTACTGATTTCTAGTTTAGTTGCATTGTGGTTTGATGGCAGACATTATCTGTTTCCTCTTCTTTTAATTTTGTTAAGGTGTGTTTTATGGCCCAGACTATCAACTATCCTGGCAAATGTTCCATATGATGGCTCTTGCATTCGATGATTCTAAATGTTGCTAATCATACCAGGTATGATGTTACTGCCTAGAATTTGACACTGATTCAGCATTATTTTGTCTTAAAATAGTGTGTTAAATGGAGAGAAAAAGACCAAAGGTTGTAAACTTTTCCCTGGGAATGGGACCTAATAGCCCATTCCTGCATTGACTTCCCTGAAACCATGGCTCACAACTCAATAATCTCTCTGCTTTCAATATCTGCTCAGAATCCTCCAGAGTGCTTAGCTTCCACCCAGCATCCTCTGCAGGCCTCCGTCCCTGCTGGGCTCACATTTCATGCATCCTGCACACAGGGAGATGTAGACCCTGCCTACCCTGCATGTGCCGTTGTCTCTGATGGAGTCCAGCAAGGAGAAAAGCCAGCGGGCCTGGCATGCCAGACTCCAGCCAGACCCTCTGGGCTTCACCTGCAGTGATTCTGGTCCACGTTCCAGAATTCTGGGGCCAAACGGGATTCAGCCTCAATTCAGGTGACCAGTGGGTCAGCACCCAATGGTAGGGGAAAAGACCAACCAAATATCCCCTCTACTGAACATGATTTAAAGAAACAGAACAAAACATTTTGGATCCTTTCTCACCTGGCCTAGCAGTTTTTATCAAATCTCACCAAGGAATACTGGATCTGGGGTTAGAAGAATCAGATCCCCATTCTCTGCTTCTGGGCTCCCCTATATCACTCTGCCTCTGGGCTATGCAGGTTTGGGGTTCACCAGAGAAAATATGGAAATATTCATTTATCAATCATTCCCATCGAATTTAGGCCAAATAGAGAAAGACTTTAAAAAATGAATCTTTTTTACTGTTTAGGCTTTTTATTCCAGCCTATGTGAATTATCCATCCATCCAAAATATGGCTTTACCTCTAGTCAAAGGCACAGTATTACATTTACTACCATTTAGAAGAGGCTACAGGTAATGTCCGATGGAAGTTTCTCTGAATAACCTAGAATGAGAATCTAGAGCTGAAAATATCAACAGAAGTTACTTAAACGAGTCTCCATTTTGCATATAGCAACACTATGGCCGTGCAGGTCGACTTCATCAACAACCCTAAAGGGCCTAAAATAAGTTGTTCGAATGGGAATTAAGTGAGACCCTCCGTGAATGCCAGCCCTGGGACATTCGCAGTGTGATGTTTTCAGAGCAGAATGGAATCTGGTATTTCCTCTATCTCATTGCCAGTCCAGGCTGAATATGTAAAATGTCCTAAGAAACTTTTATCTCCCCTCAGAATGTTACTTTTCCCTGGGTCTTTCTATTTCTTTATACATTTTAGATGTGATCATTATATGAGCCAGACTATGTAGATATATTCCTAGGTTTTTACACTTTAAAAAGTGACACTTAAAAAAAAAAAAAGGCAACAAATATGTTCTCCCCCTCCCCCCCAGCCATTTTTCTTTTCTAACCACCTCCCCTGCTAAAAAACAAAACAAACAAACAAAACAACCGACTTCTCCTCCCGCTAATGACGTCACAACAGTTATACCTTTGCTCACTTTCTCTCTCCTTCATGCCCTGTCCACTGCACGCAGGAGGGCAGCGTCCACTGTGTCCACTCTTTAACAGCGTGGCCACTGCTATGGAACACTGCCTGACACCCAGTAGCCATTCGATAAGTATTTGTTAAACGACTTGGTTACTTTCTGAAAATTTATATGTCTATCCTCATTCCTTCTCAGTCCCAAGAAAAATCTGGGAAACCGGAGATTTGAGGTAAAATTGGATTGTTTTTATTAAACTGTATTGGTGGTTTTCAAACCTTAGTACGGCAACAAGTCACCCAAGGCACTTGTTAAAATGCAGATTCCTGTCTGCCTCCTCCCCCCCTCCCAGTTCTGATTCAGTAGGTCTGGGTGTGGCCCAGGACTCTGAATTTTTAAGCAAACACCCTGGGTCTTCCTGGGCACCACACCACCCACAGTGGAATTATAGCAGGGGTAATGGGCAGAGGGACAGAGAATGACAGGGCTGGGAGAGATCATGCAAGTGCATTTAGTCCAATCTCCTCACCATTCAGACAAGGGAGCTGAGGCCCGCTGTGCACAGGAGCTGGCCTGAAATCATCTAGTGCATTGTGGCAATTTGAGAGGGTCTTCTGAGTAGCTTCATGCATCCATTCTCTTTGCAGAGTCTTTATACTATTTACTTTGTAGTCTAACATGTGTTCGCCACCTTGTTTCTCAGGCTATCTTGTTAACATATTTAAATGACATTTGCTGGTGCCTGGTTTTATCCAAGCAGCATCTCTTCTATTTGGACTCTGCTACTACCCTAAGTGACACCAATTACCAAGAAGCATCCCAGTTTCCTGAAAAAATACTTGAAATGACCACCTAATGAGGACGTTAAGTATATTTTCTCATTAGTAATTATGTAGGCTCTGAAGCCAGGCCCGGTATCTATATATACTTGTATTGCTAAATTAAAAGCAACTGTGGGGCAGAGAATAGCTACATTTCGAGGAGCAACAAATCAAACGTGACATGTTTTGACTGCACTGATATACAATGATCTGAGCTCACTTTTGAAGGAGAGAAGTTTGGCCCAAGGAGAAGTGAAGGTCCCAGAGCCAGGAACACTTCCCAGAGTGAGGAGCCTCTCTTTCTGGCCTCCAACACATGCATGCATTCATTCCCTCTGTGACTTGGAACGCAACTCCTCCACCTCGCTTTCCCACAAACGAGGAAAACCACTCACTCACGACCTTAGAGGCACACATGCCGGACCACGGTTAGAACGTACCTATCTGGCAAACATTGTCTCATTTCTCGATTTGCCCGATTCATGGGGAAAACTGGCATCGTCAACAAATTGTCTTGGTCAAATCAACTGTCTGACTCAAACCCTACAGGGCAAATTCTTATTTAAAATGTAATAAATTATGGACACACACTAGAATGTTCACATTTGCTACCACTGAAGAGTGGGATTAGTCAGGAATAAAGGAAGAGGAGACTTTCATTTTTCACTTTGTCTTCTTCTAAATGGTTTGCCTTTTAAAAAAACCAGTGGGTATATATTACTATTATTATAATTTTAAAAACCTAATAAAGCTTCTATTAAAAAAAAAAACAGGGGCACCTGGGTGGCTCAGTTGGTTAAGCGACTGCCTTCGGCTCAGGTCATGATCCTGGAGTCCCGGGATCGAGTCCCGCATCGGGCTCCCTGCTCGGCGGGGAGTCTGCTTCTCCCTCTGACTCTCCTCCCTCTCATGCTCTCTGTCTCTCATTCTCTCTCTCTCAAATAAATAAATAAAATCTTTAAAAAAAAAAAAAAACAACTAGTAGATTTGCGTTACAGAGACGTGGCAGTATGGTGAAATAGGAACTCAATACCTTGAGTGATGAGATTCAGATCTAGCACTAACTCTGCCCCTGACCTTAGGCAAGACCCTTAAGCCCTGGAAGCCTCTGTTTACTCCTCTGAAAATATGGCGGTTGGATTAGATGATCTCAAAGTCACCTCCCGTTCTATGCGAATGTATAGAAGGAGAAGGGATTATGAAAACTGAGTTTCAATGAATGACCTTTCTAAATAAATGATGGAAACCATAACTTATAGCACATAAAGCTGTGGCTTAAATGAAATTATGTAAGAACATATGTGATGGTGCCTAGCTCAAAGTAGGCACTCAATAAATTCATTTTGCTTCATTCATTTTATGGTAATGTTTTTAAGAGAACAAAGCAAGTTCAATCTTGTTAAATAACTAGTTACTTAACATATTCACATACACACACACATACACATATATATCTAAAGTCATATAAATAGAAGATTACTTGCATTTAGGAATAATGAGGTAAACCTCAGAATCGTAAAATCTTAAGAGTTGGAGGGAATTCAATATTCAAAATAACTTCTCTGCTTGTGAGAAATCCTGTTATGTGTTCTCCTTAGTTATTTCGTGTGTTGATGAACTCATGCTTCCACAGCAGCTCTTGCAGCTAAGAGAGCTCATCCTTATCTTCAGAATGAGCTGGAAGGGGCCCCCCTTCTTCTTCCTCTAGATCTGCCCTTGGGAGCAACAGTCCTCTTTCCACAGGGTAAAAAAGTAACCTAATCCTGCCAAACCTTCCCTCTTCCTGTCTAGATATTTTCATTTCCTCCAATCATCCCTTACAAATTTCCAGAAATGGTGTGTCTCCACATCCCTCTTAAACTCCACTTTGGGAATGGACTTAACCCTTGGAGTGTGGTCTCATAGGACAGAGCCTGTGGGACCACCCCCACTTGGTTCCGGTTCTATATTTCTATTACTGCAACCTAAGGTAATTCAGCATCCCTTCCTTCCACCACACATATTTTGTTGGTTCATACTGAGAGTGTATGGAATGAAGTCCCAAGATCTTCTTAATGTGAACTACTGATGGGCCAAGGCTCTCCCATGTTTTGAAATTCTAAATGCTGAGCTTCACATTTATTTTTGTTAACTTTCTTCGTGATGGCTTCAGCCCATCCTGTTCCAACCTGTCGAAATCACTCTGAATGTTGATACTGACATCCATCATATTAGCGATCCCTCCCAGATTTCTGTCATCTGCAAATGTGATCAGCATGCCTTCTATGCCTTCATCCAAGTTTTTGATGAAAACTCACTGTATTTTTAAAAAGTCTTTTAATTTAATTGATTTTGGTCCAAGTTTTGATAATTTTGTAAAGCTATCTAAAAGCAGGAGAATCCAAGTTATGAGGTTCAACCTGATTCCAAAACAATGCAATTAAAATAAACATGCTTTACAAAATTGAGCAAGGCCCCCAAAGGTAGTATCAATGTGACCCAGACTCTGGCATGGTCAGCCTGCTATTTTGGACAAAGCTAACAATTAAATTGGATAAATGTTTGTTGATGAAGATGATGACTCTAGTCTAATACATTGAATAGTGCAGAGTCAAGCAAACACACTGGATTGATTTTTCAGTGTGGAGACAGTTCCCAGCTGGGACAATTCAAAGTGCTGGGGAGGGTTTGCCACTGAATGACTAATTAGGCCACGTAGACCAATAATTGGATAATTTGGGGCCAAATAATCACTCTGGGGGCCTCAGTTCTATGGACTGACCATCAGTAGCGATTTCCAATGCCCTGGAACAACGTCAGACTGTTCTACAGGCTTGGCGTACGCAGTGTGGTGCAGCTTCATTAATTCAGACAAATTGCATAAGGGGAGGCCCAAAGTTGCTTCAGGGAGGAGACGTCGTTATTTCTAGCACCCACTCTCATTGAAACCAGAGACACTGTGAAGCATGGTATTGAGGAACACAGACTTTGGGGTCCAACACACTTGGCTTCTAATTCTCTCTCTGATAAATATCAGCTAGGTGACTTTGGGCATGTCACTCCTTTAACCTTTCCCAGGTTTCATTTCCTCATCTGTGAAATGGATGATAACACTCAACCTTAATGGTATGGCTACATGGACCGTGACATGTGTAGCTTTCATACATTCAACAAACAGTAAAGTAAGAAAGGTCGGTCAGGGAGATACATGCACAGGGCACTGTGCTAAAGCTTTGACAAATATCATCTTATTGACTCTTCTTCACAAACCACCCCAGGAAGTAGATATTATTGTTTTTACTCCATAACACAGATGAAGAAACTGAGGCATTCCAAGGTTTAATCGGTTGCTCAAGGTCACCCATCTACTACATGACGGTGTTGGGATTTTCATCTAGGCCTGCATGGTTCCACAGCCTAAGCCCTTAACCCCTGCATTATTCTGTTAGACTATTATTTGAGACTTGACTTTAGTTAAGAGATGCTACTTGTAATCAGAATAAGAGTCCTCAACCTTTGGTGCTAAGGGTCTACCATGCTTCTCATTCGAAGTCTGGTGATTAGGTGCGGAGAGGAAGCTTCACAGCCTATAATGAGAGTGAGGATGAGGGAAGAAGGATCACAGCGGGTATACAAATCACCGCTTCATTTCCGTCAACATTGCAACCTAGAAGGAAGGCACATAGCAGACTCACACACACACACTCTTGGCCAACTCCTCCATCAGAAGTCTGAAATACTGATTAGACCTGGGGAGGGCAATCTGGTAGTAGCTGCCAAGCCAGATCCACCAACTGAAGATCCCAGGACGGGCCTTTCTCTCTCATCTGTGTGCAAACTGTGTTTCTAAGTTTTCTTGTATTAGAGAGGGGGTAGCTATCCTCACAGTTCACGGTTGTTTAGATGGTGAAATGAGACAACAGACTGCAATGTATAGCATGCAGAAATAACTCAATAATTGTGGTCTTTTTCCTTTCTTTCCCTCTCTGGTGAGACCCCTTCCTAGAAGTTTGCTTTTCTAAGTCTTTTTCAAAACTGCCCTCCAGTAATATTTATACATTTGCTCCGAAAAACCCTTCTCATGGTTCTCCTCCGTGTTATCCAGATTTCTGGGAAATTTCAGAGTTCAAACTGATGATATTTTACCACATCTCTTAAGAGATACAAATATTGATATGCTTTGGTTGACTTAAGTAACAATACTGGTACTCATTTATGGTTTTCAAAACCATCACTCCTGTGTGGCTGATGTTCCAAACATCCCTCTGGGGTTAAATATTATAATCATCTCCACAGTAGGGATGAGAAAGCCAAGAGTGGGAGCCAGGTGACACTGGCAGGAAGTAGCAGAAGCAGCGTTCCATCCGGGTCCCCCTGACACCTCCCAATGTCAAGACCAGAGCTCACTCCTCTCCATCAGTGGTCTCATCCCTCTGAATAAGCAGCAGGTCAATCAGTGCCAATGCAATTGGGTAAACTGCTGAAGGATGACTTGAGGCTCACCCAGATGGTTTGATCACAATATTAAAAAAGCACTAGTCACTTCCTTTAAACCACAAAAGAAATCTACACATTGTAATTCACCTGTGCAGATTCTCATTGGCACAATTACCAGGAATCCTGCAACAATGGTATGACAGGTGCAGCACTGTCAGGGTCATTTGTTAAGGCATTTAGAGATCCAATAAGGCAAAAATGATTTGGTGCAATGGATGCACCAGAATTGCTAGATGAAGTGAGAAATATAGGAAAGGTATGAAAACTGTTTAGTCCAGTGCCAGGCGCAAAGTCATTCAATCAACTCATGTTACTAGTATCATGAACAGAGACCTGATCATTCATTCGAAAAGTAGGACATCATAAAACTTACTCTGGAGTAATCGAGATCTCTGGGTGTTGAGTCTGTTAAAGCTCGGACAAGGGCATTCATCATACAGATCGGAGGAGAAGGTGGGGAGGGCTGAGAAGGTTCCTGCTGTAATGGGCTCTTTGGTTTGGAAGGCAGCCGACCTCTCCTCCCTTTCAGACTATCTGTACGGACAACTGATGCCAAGAGAAAGAAAGAAAAAATGTCTTCAAAGATATCCATGAAGAGCCATAAATCACAAAAAGGAATCAAAACACATTACAGTTGAGCAATCATTAACAAGACCAACCATTTCAAAGTGGCAATACGTTCGGAATTATATCCACATAATGATTTAATGAGAGTTGAAACAAGCAGCACAAAAGTCACCCATACTTACATCTGGTAATGAATTAGCCCTAAAAGTCTCCTTCTTAAATAGAACAGAGATGTATGTACACAAGCTCTCTATTGATTTTGAGAAATTAGAATTAAGTAGTCCTCAGCTATTTTTAAATGGTAATACATACCATAAAAGTAAAATGTTGGAAAGAAAGGGAAACTAGGAAAATTCATCCTCCCAACATCAATATTAACATTTTTTTCAGTGATATCTGAGAATATGTATAAGCAAGCTGAATAAAAAGCATTGTACCCATACCTTCTTTAACCATGCCAACACTGAGACACTTCTGAAATCGACAGTATTGACATCGGTTTCGACGTCTCTTGTCTACAGGGCAGTTTTTATTTGCCAGGCAAACATATTTTGCATTTTTCTGAACCGTTCTCTGAGAAAACACAATACAGAGATAGTCAACGAATAGTTTCTGGAAAGAGGCAGGACCTGACAAGATGTATTTTAATTACAATGTGAAAAGCGACAGTGCAATTCGTATAATTAGATAAATTTAATTTCCTAACACGCTAGCCTGCAGGAAAAACAATTTTATTAGTGTTAGCTGCTGACAAGGAAAATCATCTCGGATTGTTCTGAAGCAAGTCTCAGGAGACACCCAAGTCTGAATGATAAAATCATATCTGAAATTACCAGGTCAACATATCATACCTTGGAGGATTAGATTATCTCCACTTCTAATATCCCTTTGGGAACAATTTTCTACTTGTTCCACTCCCCTGATTATTGCTGACCTTATTAAAATAGAATCAAAATTATCTGGGATGTACTTTGTGGGCTATCACTATTGTAAGTCAAATATCACAGTAACTGGCTTTGTTCCCCAATAGAAATGAAATCATAAAAAGCAAAATCAGGACTTGACTAGTTAAGACATATAGAAAATGTTTTTATGCAACAAAAATCACTGTCACTTGATCTGCCTATCTCACTTATTTTATCTTCGAGATATTAAGATAATATGTATTAAAAGAACATTCTCTTAAGAGGCTATGTATGGTAAACTGGTTATTTCTGATTTTTGAAAGCAAAATCTTAAAATTGGTTACTAAAAACCATTATCACATCTGAAAAAAACAAACAAAAAGAGTAAAAAAAAAAGAAGGAAATGTGAGAACCATAAATTTTCAATAAAAATTCCTATTAATAGGTTATTTCATAAATGACTATTGACATAGACATCAAAATAGCCATATTGTAAACAACACATCATAAACCTTGGACTTGGATATAAAATGATGTTTTATTCTTCAGAATCACATATAATTTTAAAATAACACATGGAGAAATAATGAAGCATATTTTATGCTCCAGATTTTAAAAAATGATTGATTTTTAAAAAAAAATTTTTAAAAACATTTGTGCAAGTGGATGTGTATTTACCACTTAAGGTGAAATTATTCAGAAATTACCTGAATCTAAACAACTCCAAATAGAGCAGACAGTTGGAATTTATTTGGTAAGCCTGGGCTGCATGAAAGGAAGAAAGAAAGAAAGAAAAGAAAGAAAGGAAAGAAAGAAAGAAAAGAAAGAAAGAAAGAAAGAAAGAAAGAAAGAAAGAAAGAAAGAAAAAGAAAGAGAAAGAAAGAAAGAAAGGAAAGAAAGAAAGAAACAAAGAGAAAGAAAGAAAGAAAGGAAAGAAAGAAAGGAAAGAAAGAAAGAAAGAAAGAGAAAGAAAGAAAGAGAGAAAGAAAGAAAGAAAGAAAGAAAGAAAGAAAGAAAGAAAGAAAGAAAGAAAGAAATCCAGATAATTTGGGATTGGTGATCTATTTTGGGTCCAAAATTCTAGATTTACTTTTAATCTTTTCCTTTTAGCAATTCTCAACCCCCATGTATTAGTTTTCATCGTATCACCTTTTAATTTCATTTTAGGGAATGGTTTCTAAACTGCCTCTGTGACTTTAAAAATCTACCAAAGCCAGATCCATTTAGTTTAAAATGCAAAATTCCAAAACACAAACATATCTCTGAGTTTCCTGCATTTAAATTCTCAACAGTCTGTAAGGGTAGGAAACTTATGTTTCCTGAATGAAGATCTCTTTCATTGGACATGCAGTAATTTCTAAAACTCTGTTTCTTGCCATCATCCTCAAGGCTATATGCCAGTTTGAGTGCTGGTGGCATTTTGCTTCAGGTATACATCTTCCCAATAACCCGAAACCTTCCTCACATTTGTGTGTGCCTGCACAGTTTAAGGACAGGGAGAGATCGTTATGGTTCAATCACTGAATTCCCATCATTAACTGCACCTCATGTCACATTTTTAAAGAATTCAATTTAATGGTAGAAAGCCACTGGGTAAAACCTGCTCCTGTTCCTTTAATTAACAGATCTGTGGGGTGGTTCTCCCCCATCCTACCCCCACCCTTTCAAGTATAGATTTGTTTTCAAGGCATTGCTGCAGAGAAGGGACGCTGTTGGGGAACAATTAATTGACATTTCTAGACTAGGAATGTATTACCACTCCTGTATTTTGGTTAACTCTCAATTATTCGGAGGTGATTATATTTGTGGGTTAATTGTACTTCTCTTAATTGTTTTTCTTTCTTTTATGCTTTTTGGCTGCCTGTTTCATTGCCCTTCAGCATTTCCACTGAAATACTGTGAAAATGAAATCTGCTACAGGAATGTGGTTAACTTGGAAAGAACCCTGGTAAAGCTTGAGCAGTTCAGACAGAAAAAAAAATGGCTAAGCTGAGGGTTCTACATTTAAAACATCATACTTCTGCATACTTCCTAAATGGCACTGACATATTGCGAAGTCTTTCCACAAGCATTTTCTCATTTATCTGCAGAATTTAATTAATCGCATGATGCCTAACCCCAGATCAAAAATAACTGTTGCTTGTTGGTAGGTATACCAAACCACACACATGTGCATTTTAATAAATACTTTGTAGTTTTCATTTAATAATGAACTACTGTTTTATGGCCCTTTAAAGATTATAAACTGTGTTCATAACTGCTTTACCTAATTTAATACTCATAGCCCTTCTCTGAATTTTATTCACCTGATTGGAAAACGGAAGCCTAGAAAGACATACCACGTTCAACGTCACGGATTGGTAGGTGACAGATCAAGGACTCCTATTTGAGTGTTCTGACTCTAATTTTAGCACACTCCCAGATATATCCTATTGGCCTCCCAAATACCAGTTACCCAATCAGCATCAAGCTTCCTGTTTCCCTCCACCCTGCGCAGCACTGGAGTCTAGGGAGTGGTTTTTGTGGGAGAACATTTGTGGGTTTGCAGATGCCTGACATAATGGCCAAGGGAGTGGGGAGGGTGGCACAGAATTAAGTGTCTGAAGACGTCTGGGAGTCAAAAGCAAAAGTAGAGCGGCAAGAGAACAAGGCCTCTTCCCCCTCTAACAGTAGAAAGAGCACTGACCTCAAGCGTTGAAAGAAACCAGCTGGACCTGCCAAACATGCCACTAAATCACCCTTTATAGAATGCACCAGGCTTCTCATTATAGGCTTCAGCTTACTCAGGGGTCAGACATGGAGGGAGGCTGAAGACCCTCCCACGGTAAAATTCTCCTTTGGGTCTATGAGATAACCAACAGTGTCCACATCTGGCACTGTGGGTAGCACAGGGATGCAGTGGACTGGTGAGACCCCAGCTTCCCTCTTCTACGGAGGGAGCTGCCCCAACCTGCAGCCAGCCAGTTGCTCCTATCTATTCTGCCGTTGTAGATCTGCGAAGAGGGTGTATACTTTGGGAACAAGCAAATGTGAGTTGGCATCCTGCCTCCTTCTCACTGAGTGTGTGTCTTGGGGTAACTTGAATAACCTCTCTGAGCCTCCACTTCCTCATCTGAGAAGCAAGGATAACTAATACCTACTTTCAAGATACTCTTAATAAAAATAGCTAGTGGGGGCGCCTGGGTGGCTCAGTTGGTTAAGCAACTGCCTTCGGCTCAGGTCATGATCCTGGAGTCCCGGGATCGAGTCCCACATCGGGCTCCCTGCTCAGCAGGGAGTCTGCTTCTCCCCCTGACCCTCCCCACTCTCATGCTCTCTCTATCTCATTCTCTCTCTCAAATAAATAAATAAAATCTTTAAAAAAAAAAAAGCTAGTGGGTGGTCCGAATTCAATCTCGCCTCTGTCTGATTCTAGAGTCCCAGCTCTTATATGAGGATTAAATGAGATACAAATGTCCAGCGCCTGGCACACAGACCCCATCCCCTCAGATACCCTGCATGGACAGAGGAGGACTACAATGAGGCTTTTGCATTTTTTTTTAAGGCCAGGGATCCTTTTGAGAATCTGCTGCAGGCTCTCTCCAGAAAAATGCTCATAAGGTAAAGCCAAGTCAGGAGGTTCACAGCCCCCTGGAGTCCAGCCAGGTGGGCCTCCGGTAATGGACCTCAAGTTAAAGACCCCCGAAGAGAGTGGGTGTGAAGGTGCTAGGAAGGGCTACAGGAACGCACAGGATAACAATGCCACTCCTCGAAGGGGAAGAAGGACCCTCTTGGACGCTCACTTGAGCGGGTGGCAGAGGAGGCTGGCTGCAGAGGGGAGGGGCGCCAGGAGGAGGCGTGCGCTCACCTTGAAGAAGCCCTTGCAGCCCTCGCAGGTGCGCACCCCGTAGTGCTGGCAGGCGGCGTTGTCCCCACACACGGCGCACGTGCCCTCGCCCGACGACGAGCTCCTGTTGGGCGGCGACGGCAGGCTGGGGCTCTCGCCCAGCAGGCTGGACGCGGTGGGGGAGGCCGTGAGGCCGAGCGGCGGGAAGGCCAGCGCGGCCGCCCTCTTGGCCAGCGGCAGCCCGTACGGGTGGCCCTCGAGCGCGGCGGCCTGGCTGCTGGCGGCGGCGGCGGCGGCGGCTCCCAGCGGCAGGCTGAGCGCGGCGGCGGCCGTCGGGTCGTAGCCCAGGTGGTGGCCGCCCGCCGGGCTGGGCGCGGGCGGGTGCGGCGGCGAGGGCTTGAAGTGGAAGAGCGGGAAGCGCGCGGCCACGGTGGGAACGGCCTTCATCGGCGGGTCGAGCAGCGGGCCGGGAGCGATGCAACCCTGCGCCGAGGGCAGCGCGTCGTCCCACAGCGCCCCCGCCTGCGGGGGGAAGCCCGGCGTGGTGGGTGTGGATGGCGGGGACTGCTTGAAGTACATGGAGGTGCTGGGCAGCACCTCGTCCTCCGGGCCGGACGGGGGCGGAATGGACGGCTGCTGCGGCTGCGGCTGCTGCTGGTGGTGGTGATGGTGGTGATGGTGGTGATGGTGGTAGTCGTGCGCGCGGCCCTCCTCCATCTTGATCAAGGGCCGCGGCCCGGACGGCTGCATTTGGTACAGGCAGGAGGGCTTGAGTTCGTAGTTGCTCGAGTAGCCTTCCATGAAGGTACTGAAGCTGGGCAGGGACGTGGTGGCGGTGGCCGTGATCTCAGTGCTGCCAAGGTCCATGGTCAGCTTGGCGTAGTCGGGGTTCATAATCTCCGTGGTGTATTCCGAGCCGTAGGTCTGCACTGCATAACTGGAACCTGGAGGTGAAGGGCTATATTGGGCTTGCACGCAGGGCATATCTGCAGGACAGGGAAGAGGGTCCGTCAGAAGCAGGTCAGCACTCTCTCCTAGCTGACAGGTAGCACTGGATTCACTGCTCTCTAATCTGGGAAATGGGAGAGGAAGGGCCATCCCTCTCTCCTCTGGTAGCACAGATTTAAAGCTTCATGCTTTACTTTCTTCCCCGGGGAAGAAAGCAGAATCCCTGACAGACTGTCAAAGGGGCCATAGAATGCAAAAACCAGGCCTCCTGGGGCCCTCTGCCCACCTTCCTTCTCCTGTCCTTGTTCTCCACCAGATCTGGGAAATTTGATTCCTTCTTTCAATAAGCCCAGTGATGTTTTGACAAAGTGGTTTTTGAGCCCTATAAACTAATTGGGGATGGTCTCAGCCACAAGTTGGGAGGACAAAAAGAAAGCCAGTGAATGCTCTGTTGGTTTATTTTTGGGGAAAGAGGCCACTAGTCCCCAAAGTCACACGCATTGATTTAGAAATCTACGAGTTAGTTAACAAAAAAATAAGGTGTCCTACGTGGGACTTACTGGCCAAGGGAGACCGACATTCTAACATTTTATGAGTGCCAACTGAGCCTACCTACACACGTTGCAGTGGCTTTCTCCCACCCCCTCCCCATTTCTCCACACAGCTCACAGCCTACACAAACTGGACCCTGTTGATGACTTCAGCCAGCTAGGTGGAGAGGTGGGAACATAGGCCCAGGAAATGGACTCGGGGGAGTTTGTGCCATCTGCAAAGAGAAAGATCAGCAGCTGCAACAAAACACCCACCAAACGTGCTCTCTGCCACGTACAGTATATATATATATATTTCCCCCCAATTCTGACTAATAAAATACATCAGTGGCTGTTTTAAGACAACAGTTTACAGCTACTGTATTAGGTGAGTTAGCCTATAAATTTTCTTATGACAGAAGAATTAGTACCTCTGCAAAAGAAAGCAGTTTCTTAGTAGGTTCAGTTTCTCTTCCAGTTGACTATGTGAACTCCCAAAGGGACTAGTATCCCGGATGCTTATTATTGTTCAGAGAGGTTGAGAAGGATGAGAAGGCCTTGAGAATTATTGGATCTAGTGGCTGATTTTTTTTTTTTTATCCAATTATTTCCTTTCTGTATGGCTAACTAGAAATGATAAAATGGGCAGTTTCTGGTGGTTGGTTTTTCTGAACCAGAGGAAAAGCAGATGCTTCACCTCTGTTTGGAGTCTATGGTATAGAAGTTGTGACTAATAAAAAAAAGTGAGTACTTCACATTTCCTTTGACATCTTTCTCTTACCCACATTTCCAAATCTGATTGAGTCATGCGTGTATGGGATGAAATCTTGACTTGAAAAAGGGTGATGAGGGCCTGTTGGAAGAAGCAGTGATAAGGAGAGGCCAGTTCAAGCCTTCATTTTCCAAGAAGGGCCTTAAAAACACTCACTAGTTTGAAGTTCAAGGATTACTTATCCTGCTGTCTTGTTGTTGGGGTGAAATGAAAGGCTAATGATTTAAAAGAAAGAACACTGCCCGATGTTCCATCTATTCTCCTTCCTTCAGCACTTCTACGATTTCTCCATTAGTCTTCTGTCATCTTTCCTTGGCAATCCCCATGCATTGCTCTTCTTTGTGTCTTTCTGAGGTTTCCAGCTAGAATAGGAGTTTGCTTGGAACTAAGTTCTATTTATCTGCATATATAGATTACACAGTCCAGGCACCTGGTATCTCTTGGTGATTACACAGTCCAGGCACCTGGTATCTCTTGGTGATTACACAGTCCAGGCACCTGGTATCTCTTGGTGATTACACAGTCCATTTGTTCTCTTTAACAAATGCATAAAGAGGTGTCACAAGCCAAACCTGCAATCCTTTCTTTTGCCCAATTCGAATTTACTCCTTGGTTTTCAGCTCAAATGCTTTTCCTCTTTTCCTCTATCTGCGCTTTAATAATCCCAACCTCTGCATCAAATGATTTGGGTTTTATATACAAACATAAATGCTCTGTATTGCTCAAAGCGAGCCCATAACTTTTACATGCATAAACTGGATATAAAAGGAGAGCAAAAATGGAGACATTAAAATGTATAAAAAGATTCCAGTCTTTTGGTGTATGACATTTTTCTTAGGAAAAATATTTTTGAGAAATGCAACGCTTAATTTAATCTGGCTGCTCCACTAGGTAGCAACAAGGTGTGGTATCCAGAGGAGCTTCGTGCAAGGAAGCCACCTGTGCTGTGAAATGCGTGGCCAGCAGTCACTGTCCTGGCCCTGGGCAAGTTGAACAGCCTGCCTTCTGGGTGTGTGGCTCCCCCACCCCCACCTCTCCCAACTTGGGAGGGATAGGGGGGTCATGCCTTCAGACCTACCTGGAGGATATCTTGCGCGCTGAATGGTGGGGCTGTGGATCTCTCCAGCGGAGGCTGAGAGGGTAGGAGGCGGGGACGTCCGGCGAGGCGAAGCGGTGGCAGTGCTGCTGCCTGGCTCCGCTGAGGGTCCAGGCTCAGGGCCGGGGCTTGCCGGACTGCGCTCTTCCGCAGTACGCTCTGCAGGCACCGGGAGAGAGGAGAGAGCTCAAAGTGAGACCAGGCTGGTCGTCGTGGCCTGAGCTGGGCGTATTGGGAGAGGGTGGTTTGGTAGGGGGTCACTATGCATGCTACGTTAATTACAAAGAATTGTAAGGGCAAGGAAGCAGTTCTTAAGGTGAACGGAGTCCCTGGGCAAGAAGCGTCACACCGCCTTGGGGGGGAACCACAGAAAGGTCGTTAGGCACCCATTGCGCTCACCGCCGTTTTGTGGCACCCAAACACCTAGGCTAAAAATACGTGCATTCTGACATCGCCCAGAAACTGATCTCTCTAGTCCCCACAATTGGTTCTGAGCTCACCAAGTCAGGAAAGCCAAAGAAAGAGCACCTGAGGAAGAGTTTCGACGAATTCGAGAAGTCAGTGAGTGTGCACGAGCGTAAAATAGCCGTTTTCCAACTCCATTGCCCCCCCTCCCCCATACAGAATTTACACGTTGCATAGGAAATGCACAAGGTCCGGAACGAATGCGTGAATGCCCCGAGGAATTAAGAAAGTCTGCGCTTTTCATTCTAAATGCTAATGGAGCTTCGCTTCTATTAGCCGCGAGTTTTGGGGGCCAGGGGTCAAGCAAACAAAAGGGCACAGTGGAAATAGGCCCGCGCTGGAAACAAGGGGACAAGGCAGTTGGAGTTCCAGGCTGGTGGGGTGGGCGGAGGGAGGCCCCCTGCACCCAGCAGGAGGTATCCCTGAGGGTGGGCGACTTCGAGGCTCGGGGCCATCCGGCGGCCCCGAAGGGGCACATTCCGGAGGGCGCCGAGCGCGGCTCCGGGGCGAGCGTCTCTGCGCACAGCCTCAGCGAAACTTTGTAGCTGGAAGCGCAGCTCCGCGGGCCTTGGGGGAAAGGATCCACTGCCCCAAACTCTGGCCTACAGCGCCCCCTTTGTCTGGACCCATTCATATCTCGAGGGTTGGGAACGTGAAACCGAAAAAAAAAAACAAAACAAAACCCAAAACACAACCCCAAAAAACCCTCGGGGGTGCGCGGGCCGAGAGGGGCGTGTAAGTTTCGTCCCCCGCCGCCCCTGAGCCAGCGGCTTGCCTGAAGGAAGACAGGGGGGTATCAGAACCCCAGGTCCGGGAGGCCCTCGAAAGCCAGGAAACGGGGGATTCCCTTGCCACCCCCAGCCCCAGACCTGCCCCACCGATCGTACGGAAATCTTGCGCTCGCTCTAGCGCAAGCACGGGCGGATCTTCCCACGGCTGTAGCACGAGCTTTCCGTCCGCCCAGAATTTTCAGTACGGGTCTCCAGCAACCTCCCACCACCTCCTGCAGTAGGTGCCCTCATTCCTGCCCTCCCCTGGGTCCTTTCGAGCGTAGTCTTTCTCCGAGGATCGGCCTCTGACTCCGCTGGGCGAGGGTTGCGTCTCCTCAAGGAAAGGGCTCCCCTCGAGCGCCGCGCGTTCGCGGGGAAGAGCCACACCACGTTTCCTGCAGCCAAGCCAAGAGCCCCACGCCCACCCCCACCCCCCGCCCACTCCCATGGCCGGTTACCTAGGCAAAGCCTCCGCGCCTGGAAACACGTTCCGCCGCTCCGGCTCGCGGCCGCCGGGGCCGGGAGCACTGAGCCTCGGGTTGTAAATTAGGTAGAAATAACTACCTCTGTCAAAGCTCCTTTCTTTCTCGTGGGCAGACGAAAGGAACACCCCCATGTTCCCCTCCCCGTGGTGAAGTGTGTGGAGGAAACCGTGAGACGCACCATTGTGACCGGGGCTCCTCCGCGGAGTTTCCAACCCTGGGGAGCGGGGGCGGAGGTTGGGCGGGGGCAGTAGGAGTGGAAGAGAGACCGACAGAAAGGGAAAGACAGATTCTCAGAAAGACCGAGGGAGAGGAGACAAACCGCGGGGGAGAATTTCTGCGAGCGCGCGGTCGCAGGGAAGGGAGTGGGTGGGTGCGGGGCGGGAGGGAGCCGGTGTGGAGGTGGCTTGGCCTGAGGAGTCTTTGGTATTCACATTAGGAGCACCTTATACAGGTAAGATAACTCGGATGAACTCTAACTTCATTCATTGTGTCCAGTAGCCGCGTTGGGCAGCTTTTTCTTTCCTCAACTCAGTTCTGTAAAATATTTCTCCGTCGTGGGAATAGAAGACTCAGGACGGATTTGCCATTAACCTCCCTCCTGGCACCCTAAGGCTCTGGGATAACAGCCCGACATTTCTGATTACCAAACTCCTTGCAGCTCTTCCCTCTGAAGAATCCGGAGGCATAAATAAAAGGCAATCTCCAGGAACGTTCTTTAGAATTAAGGGACAAATGCTTTCTCTCTTAGTACTGACCCAAGGTTCCAACGGGTTCGAGAGGTGCCTTTGGTAGTCAATCTCCGCAGGCTGCGCTCTCATAACCGCTCTCCCCTCACCACTGAGAACTTTCATTTATTTCCATTAAGAGTAAAACACTCAGAGCAACTTCTCCAAAAGCGCGAGTTCCGTCAGTTAAGAGTAAAACATTCCCACACCAAGCCAAGGCCCGAAGGAAAGGAACACCATCCCCACGCGTGTCCGGGCTCGGGGGTCGGCAATTACACCCGATTACCTCTGAAGGGAAAAGTGTACACGGGCAAGTAGGCTACGCCAGGCAGACGTGCCTAGTGGAGCCCCAGGCTCGTTTCAATACAATAAGCCACATTCCTACAATTACACCCTCTTTCCAGAGATCGTCGGAGAGACTTTGCAAACTCCAACCACTGCTGCCCATGCCCCTTCCCTCCCAAGCTTCCTCCGAGTCAAGCAGCTGGAAGTCACCATTAGGTATATTAACTTGGACCCACCGGAGCCCCTATTTTCAATCCTAGTTAAAAGGCAGGAAAATTACTGCCGTTCATCACCGGAGCTGCAACTCCCTGCCGCTGCTGCCGCCGCCGCCGCCGAGAGCATCATTACCATGACAACTAGAGCCGAAATACCCTGAATTACATCGCTGGAGCTGCTACTGAACAAATCCCGGTCCTCCTCTTTGTTAGAGGCTTTTCGCCTCTTCGGGTGGGGGGAGGAATCCCACGAGCTCCAGAGATCCCCGCGGGCCCGCTACAGGGGAAAAGTTTCAGATCAGAACCCACCGGGCCGCTCGGCGAGCAAAGCCAGAGCGAGGAGGCGAGGGGGAAAAAAACCCCACACTCAAAGTTGTCAATTTCAGGAGCGACGCTTCCCAGCGCGCCAACTTTTTAGCAAGTCCCCCAATTAACTGGGCGAATCTCATACGTACTTGAGTGCTGTGGCGGTTCCGTCTTTAGAGCGAGTTTCTAGAGAGCTGCCCCGAAATCGGTACTGGGGGAGAGTCACAGCTGCTGTCCCGGAAGGGCTGCCGTGTACAAGCCCAGCGGCTCCCAGAGGTGGCGAGCGTCTGGCAGGGGATGCTGCGATCCCGACTCATGGGAGAGTGCCGGCGAGGGGTTCCGCAGGCGTCCTGGCTCCGGCCGCGACCAGGGGGGAGGATGCCGCCGCAGTTCCCACCTCCAAGGCCACCGCCGGCGCTGTCAGCGTTGCAAAGTGAGTCCGGGAGGGGCGTCCGGCTGCCGCGCGGCTCTGCACCGGCGAGGGCGCAGGGCGAGAGGGGTGTGAGCGCGCGGGAGAGAGTGGAGTGTGTGTGCGGAGCTTGTGTGCGCGCGTGTCTGTGTGTGCGAGTGAGGGAGCGGGTGTGAGCTTGTCTGTGTGTGGGGAGCGGAGGAGGAGCAGGAGCTGGAGGGGTGGGGGGCGGGAGGCAGGAGACTCCGCTCTCCCGGCAGCGCGTTCGCTCGCTCTCTCGGCACGTCATTTATGCCACAGGAGCCCTAGCGGCCTCTCCATAGAGTGCCTGGAATGCGAGACGTCAATGTGACGCCATGGGACGCTACGTCACCCTCCTCCTCCCTCCCCTGGCCTAGCCGGTTCCGCGTGTGCGAGGGAGGGTGTGTGTGTGTGTGTGTGCATGTGCGCGCGCGCGCGTTCCCCGACCATTCTCAGGGCTGCACAATGGAAACTGCGCGGCGCGGCCAGCCCTGGCAGGGGGGCCTTTTGAACCCGCGCCGCCAACCCCTTTGCAGCGGCGCAGCTCGCCAGGGCGCGAGTCGGCTAGAGGGTGCAACGGCCCGCCGGCGGGTCAGGCGGGACCGCCCAGCTGTCAGGCTCGGGTGGAGCAGAGTTGGAGGAGTGCGGCTGGCGCGACTCCGAGGCTGCCCCGAGGCATGGAGCCAGGGAGAGGGGGTAAGGGAGAGGACAGCTCTTCCGAAAGGGAAGGCTCCGCCAGCCAGCTTCTCCGAGTGACCTGGCAGCGTGTGCAGGAGTCAGGCACCCGCCCGAAGACTCCCTGAGGTGCAGCTGCGCTTTCCTCAAGCAACAGTTCCAAAGCTGTTTAAGCCTCGCTGGCCCTCAGCGTCTAGGCTAATCCATCTCCTCCTCGCATCATTTGCTGAGTGCGTGTTTCGCACTGGGATGCAGATGGCTCCAGGAAGATAAGGTCTTATTTCATTATACTAAGGTGTGGATATCCTAACTGGACCCACTCTAACCCAACTGAGTGCACATCCATCATCCACGTGCACGCTGCAGCAGAAACTACTTAATGTGTGTAAAACAAACACACACGTGTTGAACAGCTGAGCGGGTCTGACTGTTGCAAATCATTCCCCCTTCCCCCCCCCCGCAGAAATGGAAATCTCAGCTCGCACTTTCGCTTTTTGATGGTTGCCCCCCCCATCTGCCAAATTAAATATTTCGAAATCAATCAACAGGATTTATTAGTCCCTCGCCATGGGATTTGCTCTGGTCTTCTGGGACACATTTGTCATGAAATGGTGTGCTGAAAGCCTTGGCGACTGTGTGAGGGAGAGCAGTTTCTTCCTGGAAATGATGAATTTAAGTGTGAATTTCTTGCTGCAAACAAAAACAAAAATTTATCAAAGTTAAACTCTCCTAGTTCCAAAGTGCAGCTGAGTGAAAGCAACCTCTTTGAGACAGGAATTTTTGAGAAGAAAATATTTGAGTGCAACCACGCAGACAGGCATGGTCTCCATGTAGTCCGCTTGAATCAGATGTGACATTCTATTTCTCTGACATGTCCCAATGTTTGCGTGTGTGTGTGTGTGTGTGGCGCAGTGGGGGGAGGATCCCATTGTCGACAGCACACAGTTCAGAATCGAAGGATCGAGTTAGCACCAGAAACTTGAAAACAATATTATATATACGACAGGTATATTTCTTCGATTCCACTTCCACTCAGACAGGGTGGTGTGGAGAAGACCACGGGAGGATGCTCCGAAAGTTGACCCCGCAGAGGGAACGGAGCCTCTGCACTGCTGCGGGTTCCAATCCAGTCTCGGAAGGAAGGAGGGCGCTGCTCCATTGTATCCATTCAAAGACTGGGGGGTGGGGGGAGCAGGACCTGGAGCCGCGCGGCGCTGACGCACAGGAGGCGCGTGATTGACGCAGGCAATGTTACTAAATTCGGCGGTTGGCCGGGCCCCGCCGCCGGCGCGCGCCGCAGATAACGGAGTAGGTTCCCCTCGGTCACCCCCGCCCCTTCTCCATTCAGTGCTGCGCGGGGCGGGGCGGGGCGGGGCGGGGCGGGGCGGAGCGCGCGGGGCGGGGCGGGGCGCTGGGGGCGGGGCGGAGTGCGCGCGGCCGCGTCGGGATCCGGCCGAACCAAATATAGTCGAGCCTGGATATTTTTAGCCGGGCCTCGGGTGCGAGCCCGCCGCGTGAGGGGGCACCCTGACCCCGCCAGGAGTGCGGAGGGGGCGGGGGCGGAGTCGCCATCTTGGACCCGGCTCGACCCCGTCTAGTGACCGGCGGCGCTGGGCCAGGCTCTGCGCAGGGGGTCGGGGTGAGTGGGTGTGAGCCTTGGGAGAGAGGGGGTGCGGGCCGTGACGGGAGAAGAGGGCGAGGCGCGGGCGAGGGAGCGGGGCGCGGCCTGCGGGGCGTGCGTGTGTCGGACGGCGAAAGCCGTCTGCCAACTTGCTGGGCAGTTCTGCCACCCGGCGGCCCGGCCAGCCCCGAGTCGCGTGGGGGCGGAGCCGCCCGCGGCCACCACTTCCTGAGAGCCGGGGATACCCCTCCCGGACGTCACGGAGGAGCCGAGGCGGCGGTGGCGGCCCGGGGCTCATCCTGCACTTGCATCACGGGTGCAGCAGCAGCTGCTCTGCTCCTTTGTGGCTTTTTCCCCTGTTGAGTAACTGCTTTGTTAACTGAAAATACCATGACGGGCCAGTGTGATCACCAGCTCAAGACCTCAAAGAAAGTGAAGCTGTCAGGCAAGAAGAGGGAGACTCCCCTACCCGGCTGCGATGGTATCTGGTGGGTGGGTGTGTAGAGAAGCACTTGACAGTTTCCACGTATTACTTCTTGCCTAATTCTTCACCCCCAAGAAGGTTTAAAAATACTTTTATTTCCATGCTGTAAAAATTTCATGTGTTCTGCACCCCACCCATTCCCTCTTCAATTTGAAATCTCACGCAGAACTGGAATCATTGTAAAGCAGGAACCCTAAAATTAGGTACAGTTTTTAGGATACAGGACAACTTTTAATGAATTTATTGAATAAACTCCATTTTCTAAATGTTAATATAAAAGGTCCTTGCCCACTCAACGTAGTTGTAAAGCTACTAAGTTTGTTCATATGAATTGGGCTCCTCCAGTGACAATTTTAAACCTGTATGCTTGTTTACCTTAAAAAAAAAAAAAATCCATCCCTGGCCAAATATCTCCAGGTAAAAGCATTTCTTTCTTTGAGTGGATGTGTCTTTCTAGACGTCTGTATTGGTTGATTCTGTGCTTTCCCCCCACCCCTTGCCTCGTTTACATCCTTTCCTTCCTGAATATCAGTCACCAATCTTTGTTCCTTGACTGCTGTTGGGCTGAGGGCTGTTGTCTGATTGCGCTGAGCCAATCAGCTGGCTTAGTGCTCCTCTGGGTAGGAAGCTGGACTGATTGTTACAGAGGTTCCAGTAGTCACTGATAAGTGGCAACATTTTTGCACTCAAATGGAAAGTCATGGAAGCAGAGACAAGGCTCTCTTGCAATCTGGGACCCCATCCTCTCCTTAATCCTAGGTCCCTAAACCTATGCAATTCCTCAAAATGAATCATTCTCTTTTCTTTTTCAAATTACTCTCTATTGTTCTATACCTTTTATTTACTAGAAATCACACATAATAGTCTGTAAGGTGTATGTAATATGACTTTCAGTAATCTAAATTACCTTTTTGATGACTATTTTGGATTAAATGAAACTTAATACTTTATAATGAATGTTCTTCTTTTGGGAAATCAAATAGAATAAGACTACCTTAATCTGTGAAATGTTGAAAACTTACCTGGTTTGGTCCTTTTTCTAGAAGAGGGACATTCACGTGTGGCCTAGTTTACACACACAAAGCAAAGAAAGCAGTTAGTTTCTGTTTTCATGATACTTGTGGCAGCCAATCTGTTAAAAACTCTCGATGAAGTAATTATTATAAATTCACTGGATCATAAATAATCTTTCATTTTGTTTCAGTTTCGTAGGTGTAGTCTGCAAGAAAAGTGCTCTTTCTCTTGGAAAATAAAATATGAAATTTGGGGGGAAATTTATTGTGTGTGATACAAAACAATTGCTTTAACAAAGCGTGATTTTAAAAATTGCTTTAAATGCTCTTCTGATTAAGCAATGACATATAATGTTGATTTTGCTAATACACAAACAATGAGGATGAGTCTTATTAATGCGAAGATTGGGTAAAGAAAGGTGAAATAAAAATCCAAGCCAAAAGTTGTTACCTAAGGTGAAAATAGGAAGGGAAATGAAAGAATTGTGTGATTGCAAGTCTCTAGAATCACTGTAGAAGTTCTGTGTTACATATGCATATATATGTGCATATATAAAAAATATAGAAAATATAAATATATAAAATTTGGTAACTGCAGCTGACGTTGACTTACAAACTGATGTGTTCTGGGCTCAGGAACATGGAACTACTGTAGTAATTTTCTGTCTGATTTGCCTGCATACCATGTCTTCCATATCAATTCTGTTGTTGCTCAGAAGTCTTCAGCAGCTGGATATTGTCTTCAAAGTAAAACCCAAAAGTCTCCACATCCTGGCTTCTTTATTTCCACAGAATTTCCCCATTCTAGTCCAACTGTTATCTTTACTGTTCTTCAAACATCTTTTCACCCTCCCACATTTGTTCATAGTTTTCCTTTGTATGACATTCCCTTCTTCTCCTTCTCTGCTTATTGAAATCTTATCTTTCCTGTAAAACTAGCTCAAGAAACGAACTTGGATTATGCTTTAGTCTTTTATAGAGTTCTTATTTTACTGCTTTCTTTTTCTGCTTTTGTGTCCATAGTTTATTCCCCTGTCAAAGTATAAGCTTCAGAAACATGCTTCACATATCTTTGAAATTTCGGTGGCACCTAAGTTTAACATGGATAGTAAATATCCATAAAATATTTCCCCCTTCTAAATTTGAATATAAATAGAGAGCAGCCATAATATAAGTAACAAATTATATGGATTAGGAGATTCTTGGCATGAATGGATGTAAATGAGATCATATGTCAGTTGTTTTCTTTAACTTCAACTTTTGACTCTCCTGATTGAAGATACCTTGTCAAGGTACCTGCCACAAGCCCAGACGGTTGCATGGTGATACAAGGAAATCGCAGTTTGGCTTGTACCTCTGCGTGGGAAGATTTGCTATGATTTTTTTTTCCTGACTGACTTTGGTTTGATTCTTATTCTACCCTCTTCTCCTTCTATCTGCACTTTCTCTTACGCTGCTTTTTCTCAGTGATGAACTGGATGCTGTAGGCTAGGAAATGTAATGTCATTCTTCTTTTTTTTTTTTTTTTTAAGATTTTATTTATTTATTTGACAGAGAGAGACACAGTGAGAGAGGGAACACAAGCAGGGGGAGTGGGAGAGGGAGAAGCAGGCTTCCCGCCGAGCAGGGAGCCTGACACGGGGCTCGATTCTAGGACCCTGGGATCATGACCTGAACCAAAGGCAGATGCTTAATGACTGAGCCACCCAGGCGCCCTGTCATTCTTCTTTTGGAAAAATTTCTTAAGGTTTAGAAAACTGAGAACTCTAACATCTGTGTATAATGAATTAAATATAAAAATTTCTTAATTTCCTACCTTTTCCAAAATATATTTAACTAGATTTGTATGGCACTATATATATGCCGAAGTAAATTAGGCAAGGAGATTTTGGAATTACATTTGTTGGAAATTTTAGAGAGAGGCCCACGTGACTTAGAATATTAAAATTTACTTTAAAAGGAAGAAGCAATATAATAGATCAGGGAAGACTTTCTGTGTTATGGAAGATTTTAGAAAGAGTATAAACTGACAAAGATTATTTAATAGTATAAGTGCTGATAATATTTTAAAATCTCATTAATTTTTTTTTTTCCATTAGTAAATAACAGGTTTGCAGTGTGGTTAAAAAGAGTTTATTTCTTAGTCATGTTTTCCCCAGTTGCTGGTAAACTCTGGAAGACCACAGTGATTTGGGGAAGAAAAGTTACTACTCCTGTGTGATCAATCAATTCAGGATATCATGTATACCTATAAATAAGATCTTCATTTTAGGTAGAAATGATAGATGAAGTTAATATTTCTTTCCAACTATAACCGCATAACTCTTTTTCTTATTACCCAACTCTGAAAAAAAAAATGATTTCCTCACATGTACTTCAGTTGCTTCAGCATATTCTCCGAGAGTGAGATGCTGTATTTCACAGAGAGCATTAGATTGCTTCTCAGAGGCCTGGGTCTGGCTTTGCTGCCATGAAGCTGCCCAACCTTGGGTAAGTTTATTAAGCTTTTTTGGGAGCCTTAATATTATGTATAAAATGACATTGCTGGGCTCACTATATGACCTTTCAGGATCTTTTAGGTTCTTTTTTTTTTTTTAATTTTTAAATTTAAAATTTTTTTTTTTAAGATTTTGTTTGTTTATTTGACAGGGAGAGAGAGCGAGAGAGGGAACACAAGCAGGGGAAGTGGGAGAGGGAGAAACAGGCTTCCCACCAAGCAGGGAGCCCAATGCGGGGCTCGATCCCAGGACCCTGAGATCATGACCTGATCCGAAGGCAGACGCTTAATGACTGAGCCACCCAGGCGCCCCTCTTTTAGGTTCTAAAGTTGAATGCATTTTTAGGCCAGTTAAGTATTGCGAATCATGAGCCAGCTGTGGTCTGGTCTCCTGTCACTACTTGATTGCTGTAGTCAGTAGGCTCAATAACTTTTTTTTTTTTTTAAAGATTTTATTTATTTATTTGACAGAGACAGAGACAGTGAGAGCAGGAACACAAGCAGTGGAAGTGGGAGAGGGAGAAGCAGGCTTCCCGCTGAGCAGGGAGCCCGATGTGGGACTCCATCCCAGGACTCTGGGATCATGACCTGAGCCGAAGGCAGCCACTTAACGACTGAGCCACCCAGGCGCCCCTCAATAACTTTTGTATATAATGTGTGTTCATAATAGTAATATAATTGATAATTAATTGTAGCCATTGAGTGGGATCTTGGTAGCCTGAGAGAGTTAATGTACTGCTAGCATCACAGCCTTCTCTTATCCATAAAGTAGAAACAAGCAGAAACCTGGATAGTCCAAAAGTCATTTTATATTTAGCTATGGAGTTTGTTTTTGTACATTCATTTGAATATGGATGAGTAGCAAATTGACTTCATACAAATTAATAAACTTTCATTGGAATGGATAGTGTTGTTTGTTTCAGTTCCTTTCTGATCTTCACTGCATGCTAGGCACAAACCATTTCTTCTTAGAAGTAGCAGCCAAGGAATAACTGTCCTTCTCACTTTTTTGTGGAGAATGATT